CACCAAACAAGAAGCAAAATTGAAGAAATCTACAAATGCATGAAAATGATGCAAGTATGAGCTAGAGAGAGTGACATGCTTGGTCATCAAAGGAAAGAAAAAAGGCTAGAGGGAAAACCCGACTACCTCTTTCATAAACTCGAAAGATGAGTGAGTACAATTTCAGTCTCGACTCAGTTGCTGTGACGAATCAATAAAAATCTAGAACTTTCTAAGGTTGTATTCAACATGGTCGTTTATTTCCTTACTACTTCGAATTGATTGCTTATGATTCCGAAAATTATGTGGGGTGGAGGTGCCCCTCGTATCGAGTAATAAAAATCAAACAAAAAAATATAAAATATATAAAGTACTTAATCGAATTTTATGATAAAAAAAGGAATATATTGAAAATTAAAAGGCTTGAAGGTGTCATTAGCTAATCAATCAAGAACAAGGAAGTATGGATAGCACGTTGCTTTTTAAGGCATCTACGAGAGCATGGCATTGGTCCCTGGCCTGGGTGATATAATCTATTAAGCATTGATCATATGCAATTAAAAAGAGTTGTGCATCCAATCCATGCATAAGTAGTGGCAGAGCCACCTTATAGCCAGGAGGGGCTATAGTCCCCCCCTCAACTCTCAAAATCGTGTAAATCTACGTGTAAATTTTGTAGCAAACATGGAAAATGTATTAGGTTGTAAGGCTTTAGCCCCCCCCTCCCCGGCTCAAACATATTGCACGTAAATTTTAGCCCCCCCTCCCCTCTTCAGATTTCTGGCTCCGCCACTATGCCTAAGTCAATAACATACAATATAAGAGCAGTTTCCAAGCAACATATGATGCTATTATGCGCAAGCCCATGATAACACACAATAGATAGCATGAAGTATCATAGGCATATCATTAAATCACTGTAAGTATTATAAAAACATCATAGAATCCACATCTAAAACAACAAAGGGATTTAGCTAGGAGAGAGAGAGAGATGATATCACTATCAATCGTGAAGGCATCTCAATCGAACTCCTAATGAACTCCAACTCTCCAATGGATGCTGACATGATCGATCTATGAAAAACGTTCCTACCTACCAAGGAAAGGCCAGAACTTTGGATGAAGTTACGTTAATCTCCACCAAATCAAGGGTCTTAGCCTTGATTCCTATAACTTTGTAGTGGTGTAAAGTTTGTTGAAAGCGCCTAATCTTCTATTTATATTATCATATAGGGTTTTTTTCCTTCATAAACTCAGCCAAAAAATTCATTGTACGACTTGAACTCGGATTCTTTGACTTGGAGATGAAGTAAAAAGCTTTCAGACGGTTCAAGAGACATAGGTCAGCGACGCTCACTTGGCGGTTAGATATGCCATTGATTTCTTCTTGAGTTTGGGTTGTTTGGTCCACAAGAAAACTTCTAGATGAATTTGGACTTGATTAGGCATGTTCGAACTAGCAATAGTGGGACGGCCTAAATTATTGTCTCGTAACAGGCCTAAAGCAAATGATCATATTTATCTTCAAAATTTCAATCAACAAAACTTTGTATATCTATAATTTTCTTACTTGGATCTGGTTTCAATAACATAAAAAAAAACATCAACCTTGTAACACAAACTACTTCCAAAACTTAACTGTTCGAGTTAAGCTGCTTGAAAACCCTCATATTCTTTCCTCTCTTTTTTTGGGTGAAAACTACTCATATTCCAATCAGCAAAATTGGTTTTTGAGACCACTGATTTTCTAATAGGTTCCATGACCTCGTTTAACGCCCTATTTTGAATGAAGTTTAGGGTAGGTGGCTTATCAGAAACAAAAAAAGCTCCGTCTTCCAACTTGGAATCGGTCTTTCTTTCCACAACTTGAAACCGTCCATAGAATGATAAAAACACGGACTTTGCTACGGTGACATGCATGTCACGGTGACATGCACTTTTCGGTCGACCTCATATAAGATCAGGTCGACCTAATCAGTTGTTTCAGTGTACAAACAGTTTCATGGTGCCTACTTTGGAGATTCATATCTTACAATTGGCTAGATGGAAATTGGAGATTAAAGGCTTGTTTTGAAGCTGAAGTGTCCCTCTACACATTAAAGTACTTGGGAGCTCAATAGAAAGTCTAGAAGACCATTTTTGAACCTGACTAAAAGGCTATGCCAAAACTGGGAAACTGCCTGAAAATGGCTAAGTCTGGCAACGTGTTTGTCAAGCCTACTTTGGAGCTCAATTTCACAAGCATGGATGCGAGTCAAGTCCAGGGGCCTTTACCACGTTAAATTACGTATTTTTTTTATACAAAAGCAATGCATTGAATGAAAGTTTGAATATCTTTAAGGCTTCAAACAAAAGGCTCGAAGTTGCTACGAAGGCTGTTTTTCTGGCAGCTTGCTTGTGCTTGAAGTCTGCCAGAAAAACAGCATTCGTAGCAACTTCGACCCTTTTGTTTGAAGCCTTAAAGATATCCAATCTTTCATCCAATTCCTTGAATTTGTATAAAAACGTACCTAAGTTAACATGGTAGAGGCTCCTGGACTCGACTCGCATTCATGCTTCTCGAATTGAGCTCAAAAATAGGCTTCACAAACACGTTTCCAGACTTAGCCATTTCTAGGCAGTTTCCCAGTTTTGGCATAGCCTTTTGATGAGGTTCAAAAATGGTCTTCTGGACTTCCTATCGAGCTATCAATCACTTCAATATGTAGAGGGACACTCCAGCTTCAAAACAAGTCATTAGTCTTCAATTTCCATCTAGCCAATTGTATGATATGAATATCCAAAGTAGGCACCATGAACTGTTTTTACACTGAAACAACATATTAGGTCGACCGGATCCTATATGAGGTCGACCGAATCCTAAATGAGGTCGACCGGATCCTATATGAGGTCGACCGAATTCTATATGAGGTCGACCTAATCCTAACTGAGGTCGACCGGAAAGTGCAAGTCACCGTGACATGCATGTCACCGTAGGCACACCCTAAAAACACGCCTCCCCATACTCTATTCCATCTTGTCCCAACCTACAAGGCCAAGTGTGACATCTTATTATCTTAAGCGGTCTTCCTAGGAAACAACTTGAAAAAAAAAGAGAGTCATTTATACTTATTTTTAGGGGTGGCTATACGGTCCGATTCGGTCTGGTTAAATTGGTCCGAATTGATTCGATCCCAGTTCATTTTTTTTCGGAAATATAAGGAACAGAAATTGGATTGGATACAGTCGCTCTTGATCCGGTCCGGTCTTTATCCATTCCGATCTTGACCCGGTTCGGTCCCAATTCGGTCTTGATTTTAGTTTGAGCTTGTCAGGATTTGAGTGGCCTGATGAGGACTCAAAGGGTGAAGAGTTGGCTAAGTTTTGGGTGTTGGACTCTCTTATCCGGTCTTTATTCAGTTTTCGATCTGGTCCCAAACGGTTTTTTACCTAAAATCTAAGCCCGAAAATTGGATTGGATTGTTTGCTATCCAATCATAGGCGGAGGCAGGGGCATTAGCCCTTGTCACGGGACAGGGGCAAATTTCGGAGTGGAAAAAAATACCCATATATATTTATATTGATGATGAAACAAATAATTAAAGGTGGTATTATAGTATTTTATCAGTACAACACAACTTATTAGTGGTTCATAAACTTATATAAACTTAATTTATTATACTATAAACGAACTTTTAATTGCAATAAAGACCTAATAAAATCATTTTTCTCCTTATGTCTATTCATTTTTCCCAACAATCCTGAAATTTTTCAGCGACAATGACAATTCCACTAGTTTTGATTCTACCAATTTGCAACTATAAGTGCAGAAAGAACATTTTCAGCTTTGAATTATATTAAGAACAAGTTTTGAAGTCGAATTGGCGACTAGTTTGCTAATGATTGTTTAGTGTGATACATTAAAAGAGACATATTTAACATTGTAGACAACAAATGTTTTGTATTTTTTTCACAATATGAAATTCCGTCGTGGTTGCTTATGAAAACAGTGATTTTATTAGTCGATTATTTTTTATATGTGAATGAATTATTTGGATATAATTGGTTTTAATTTTATTTATTAAATATTTATTAATTAAATATTTATATATTTATATTATGAAAAGAGGACAGGGGTAGTTTCGAATCCTGCCTCCGCCACTGTATCCAATTCCGGTCCGGTCTAGTCCAGTCCTGGTTATACAGTTCAGTTTCGGGTAAAACCAAATAGTCAAGCCTACTTATTTTCCACCTGGATGCTCATACAAATGAAGAATTGTAAAACGATATCGTAAGTTGTACCAGAAAAATTAGTAATATGAGCATTTCAAATCGCTAAAAATATTTTTTATCAATGTGATCACCAATAACAAGTTTTTTCCGATCCAACCGTTGATACGATATGATTTTACCCACTTAGATTTCAAACATAAAAAGGAGATGAATGACATGTTACCGCACCAATCTCCTTGACCAACTGGTATCCTTTGGAAGAACCGGTGATGCAAAGACCAGAAATAAATAATAAATAATAATCGAAATTAAAATATGAGCTTCCGTCCACTGCTGCAGATGATATTCTCAATCTTCTCAACTAATGCATAGCCCGATGTCAACGGTGATTGGACCATCAGGTAAAGCTTGATTATGAGACGACCGCGAAACAGCGGAGAATTCACCCGAAAATAAAAATAAAAAAATAAAATAAAAAACAGAGAGAGAGCAAGTAGTAGCCTTGTAGCGGCACGTGCCGGCCTGCCTCGCCCGCGGTAAAGCTAAAATCCAGCCGAATCTGGGTTTGACCACGACCGCCATCATCACCATCTATCTTCAATCCCTGGCACTCGCAGAGAATCAAACGGCTGATATTTTAGATCTCTTCCCGCCCGTCCGATCTCCATCCGACGGCGGAGATTAAATCTTGCTCCCTCCCTTCTGATTCGTTCACACGCCATAAATGCCCGACTCCTCCTCCCAGTTCCCGAGAAACCCCCCTCTCTTTCTAAAATTCTCTCTCTCCTCAACTCTCCGAAAACCAAAAAAAAGGAACACGGAGAAAACGAACCTCTCTTCTTCTCTTTCAACCTTTCTCTCTCTCTCTCTCTGTTCCACTGCCCCACTCCGCCACTGCTTAACCTGCGCCCCTATGTCGCCGGCGGCCACTGTTGCTCCGTCGATCATACGGATCTCGCGATACAGGAGTACGGACTAGGAGGAGAGTTTTTGTGAGAAATTTAAAAGCGCTCCTGTCCCTCGAACCGTCGTCATTCATTTCCCACGGAGATGGGAAGCCAGGGGAAGCTCACGAGGAGCTCGTCGTCATTTCTGATCTCGTCGCCGACCGTTCGATCGTCAATCCACAGCCTCCACAGCCTGTCCTCGATGGCGGAGGAGGACCTCACCACTCCGTTGAGACCGCCGGCGGAGGAGGACGACGACGACGAGGAGAAGAAGAAGAAGGGTGATAAAGTGACGAGAGAAGACCCGCGGCGGAAGCCTCACCGGTGCGGGTCGAGCGCCGGTCCGCGGCGGACCGGGTCGAGCCGGTTCACGCCGGTTCTGACCATGTTCTCCATCGCCTTCTTCTCTTTCTTCTCCTTCTCGTTTTTCTTCTTCTTCTATCTGAGGAGGGAGGAGATATCCACCTCCGAGAATTTGCTTTTGGGATTGGTTATCATCGCCGTGACGCTCTTCTTCGCCAGCAAGAACAAGAGCTTGATTAACCAGAATTTGACGTTGATCAAGCAAATTTGGGACGACAGTGGGAGGAGATTCAGCCTGTTCAGTTCCAGAACCAAGGCCAAGCAGCAGGTGAAATGGTTCATCGGCGAGCCAGATTCGGCGACCAGCGCCGTCAAGGAGAAGAGGATTATCAGAGAAGGTGTGGAGTTCTACAGCAATGGCGATTACTACGAGGGCGAATTCCACAAGGGCAAGTGCACCGGGAGCGGGGTTTACAATTTCTTCGTCAATGGGAGATACGAAGGGGATTGGATCGATGGGAGATACGACGGGCACGGAATCGAGAGTTGGGCTAGAGGCAGTAGATACAGAGGGCAGTACAGACAAGGTCTGAGGCACGGCTATGGAGTTTACAGATTCTTCACCGGCGATTCTTATGCTGGGGAGTGGTGTAACGGGCAGAGCCATGGAGTTGGAGTTCAGACTTGCGCTGATGGTAGCTGCTATGTTGGTGAATTCAAGTGTGGTGTTAAGCACGGCCTCGGCGTCTACCATTTCAGGTGAATTTTTTTGCCTGATCTAAAATTCACCCCCCCAATTTCTATTGTCACTTTCTTCAGTTGAAAACTTGGTCCTGCTATTGGGTGATTGAGTTTGGAGTCTTTTTCTTCTTCTTTACCTGAGATATTGTACTCGTGGTAGTTCATAATGGTCTCAGTTGGGTTCTTTTCTTATACTGTTGGGGGACGAAAGGACCCGTAAATGCCCGTTTTGGGGGATGTTGGGGTTCATCTTGTGGGAGCTTGTTTATACTATTGGCGGTCAGTTGAAGGGTTTTTTACGGGTCATCAGGCTGTTCGTTGAAGCAATAAATGACAGTTGAGAGACTTGAGAGAGGCAGAAGACATTAAATGATCACAGTATATCATTTCTTGTCCTAGCGTGTTTCCTGTTGTTCTCTTTAGAGTTATACAGGAACAGGAGGCACTTATTGTTTGTTAGCATTGGGGAAAAGCCCGCTGACTTGAACATGGAGGGGGGTTTAAGGTTTACTAAGTTTTTTTCTTCCTGATGTGATACTGATTGATTTGATACAGGACTGTAGAACTTAAAAGCACCATGTTTACATATATCTGAAAGACTGGATCTTTGTTACCTTTTTGGAATGTAGGAATGGAGATCGGTACGGTGGAGAATACTTTGGAGACAAGATCCATGGTTTCGGGGTTTACCATTTCGCCAATGGCCATTGCTATGAAGGGTCGTGGCATGAAGGGAGGAAGCAAGGTTATGGGATGTACACTTTCAGGAATGGTGAAATGAGATGTGGGGAATGGGATGGAGGGACCATTAAGATTCCCTTATCTCCGCAAACTGATGCAGTTCTTCGAGCCGTCCAGGTAAACTAACTCTTTGAGGATTGAATTCAATTAGATGACCACAAGTAGCTCTGTGGTTAGGAACATATATCCTTATTTACTGTTGTGAACTTGCCTGCTGCAGGCTGCTAGGAGAACAGCTGCGAATGCAGTGAAAGTTCGAAGAGTGGACGAGCAAGTGAACCGCGCGGTCCAGACTGCAAATAGGGCAGCTACAGCAGCTAGAGTGGCTGCTGTGAAAGCGGTTCAGAACAGGATGGATGGCAAATTTTGTGATACTAATGTTTAAGTAGGTTAGCTAACTAGAGTCTTTTGTCTGCAATGGATTGAAGAAGAAGAAGAAGAATGACATCAAAAGGAAGAAGAAAAATGTAAAGTCTGTATTTTTTTTTTCCTTTTTGGGTTTCGGTTTTCTTACTCACTAATTTGATGTAAGCTAAGCTTGAAAACATGTTGTGAAACACCCCGGTGAGCTGAAAAAAAAAAAGAAGGAAAAAGAAGCTCGCCGGAGGTTGAGAAAAGTGAGAGTTCCCCTCTTTCGATCACCCAAAGTGTAATCTGTACATACCAACTAGCCGCCGTGTATATCAAGTCACTAATTCAAGTGTAAGGAATTTCGGATTTCGGAGATCGTTGTTGAACTACAAATGGTTGTTTTCGAGATTGCAGTTGAGTCAAGTTTTCTCGATCAAATCACATGGACTACTCGCGCTGATAGATGAAATTTTTTCGAATTCATTGTTTGATTAACCAAAGGTAATGTACTTTTTTCTCTACAATTTCAAAATCCATAACTTTATCATTTTTAGTTTCACAACAAATATTAAATATAGTAAGAAAGGGTGGAGTCCATAATGATCATGGGATTTTTCAAAATCCTTTGGAGAACAAAACCCAGAATATGAGGATTGGGGGTTCGGGGCCCACGTGACAACAAAGAAGAGAAACAATCAAAAAGGGATGCTTTGGTTTGGACATAATCTTCAATCATTTTCATAATAGAGGATAGGAGTCTTCTCGTGGCGCTTCAATCTACTTTCAAAACAGGATGGCGCTCGTTATTATCATTATTATTTTTATTTATTTATTTTTCAAAAAAAAAAGTATGAACGGCGCGCAATTTGGTTTAGGTGAAGTGAAGATTGGTTTGTGCACCAAGAAAAATTAGGCCGCTGAACCGTCTTCTTTGACCTCTTCACTTCCGATCAACATTCACCACCCAAATAACCCAAAAATTCAAACCCTTCCTCCAAAAGGGAAAAAAAGACGCGGAGGAAGAAATCAAGATAGGCTTACTATTAATCAACACATACAGATCGCGAAATAAATAAATAAATAAGAAAACAACAGCAGCAGATATCAATATCAACCAACACAGTTTGCCAATATGAATTTGTCAGCCAAAGCTTGGAAGATAAGGAAACAGACCAGATTGGGATGGCGACATGATGATTCAGAATAATTAGGGGATTCAGACTTCAGAGTACTGTTTCCTTCCTTCCCTGCCCATCAATACCCACCTTCTTCCTCATCATATCCTCCAAAAATATTAGTTTGTTCTTTCATCTTTTCAGCTTTCCACCTCCTTTTGCCTACTTTCGGTTTTGTTACAAATCGGTAGAAAGGGTGGTGATGGTCCGAGATCCCAATCCAGAATTGGTATCGGATCGGGTAGAGAATAGTATACATGGAAAATAAGATTGAAATCGAACCAGATGTACATTCGATTTGATTTGATTCGGACCGTCTTTTTCCCTTTCTATTATAGTTGGGCTCGTGAAATCGAAACCAAAAGTGATTTAAATCGGGTTGTATTTGGCGCAGCTCAGAGGAACCGATGTGATTAAAGTTTGTAAAATTCAAAATCTAGAATTGATACCTAGAAAATAAGGGGAATTTTTTTTAAGTAACGGTTATAAGAGGAATTAGGAAATCTGTTGATTACTTCTTGTCTATTTATTGCTTCACTATATGGAATTATGTACATAAAAAAAATAAAGTTTAATAACACACACTTATGCATGGCGGAGCTTCTGGACTCTCAGCAAGGAAGAAACCTAATATGCCATTTGTTAATCAGATTCCAGAAATGGGAGGGTAGGAAAGGAGGCAGGAGTGCCAAGACTCGTAATTGTAGATTTTTCTCGAAATGTTTGGGGGTTTAAGGCCCTGAAAAGAATGCACTATTTGAAGATCAAGACTCGCGGCAAGAAGGGTACATGACTCTAAAGGTTGACATGGAAAAGGCTTATGACAGAGTTGAATGGCCATTCTTGCTTGCCGTCTTGGCAAAAATGAGATTTAATTCTGTGTGGATAGGTTGGATCCGTGAATGTCTTCGCTCAGCTTCTTTCTCGGTCCTCATGAATGGTACCCCATCGGGATATTTCTCGCCTTCTCGGGGGCTAAGACAATGGGACACTCTCTCTCCTCTTTTGTTTGTGCTCTGAACGGAAGGCTTTGCTGCTATCTTGCGCCAAGCAATAGCTGACAAGAGGTTGGGAGGTGTGAAAGTTGCTCCCCGCGCTCCTCGTATCTCACACTTGTTCTTTGCTTATGACTCTTACTTATTTCTGCGAGGTAATCTCCAGGAATGTGAGAATCTGATTGAAGTTTTGAATGAGTATGAGGAGTTAAGTGGCCAACGTGTAAACTTGGACAAATCAGTGGTTTGCTTTAGTAAAAACATAGCCCCAGCGGATCAGGAGTTTTTGGCCACGGTTCTGGGGGTGCGTGCGGTAGGGGTTCAGGATAAGTACCTGGGGTTGCCGACTTTGATTGCCCGCTCGAAAATAGCTACCTTCCGCTATTTGGAAGAAAATTGCTGGAGAAATTACAAGGGTGGAAGCAACGTACTTTATCGTGGGCGGCGAAGGAGACATTGATTAAATCCATTGCTCTGGCTTTGCCGCTGCATGTTATGTCCTGCTTTAAGATGTCATTGTCCCTTTGTAGGCTTCTTGATAAGCATGTAGCGCGGTTCTGGTGGGGTGTGACTAATGATCAGTCTAGGATCCACTGGATGTCCTGGCGCAATATGTGTAGAAGTAAACATGATGGGGGAATGGGTTTTCGTCGTTTTGAACATTTTAATCAGGCACTCCTGGCTAAAATCGGTTGGCGAATCCTCCAGGATCCTCATTCACTGCTAGCCAAGTCTACAATGATAAATATTTTCCGATAGGGACGTTCTTTAACGTGAAAGCACGATCGCGCCTTTCCTGGGGATGACAGAGTGTTCTGTTTGGGAGGCAGCTGCTAGAAAAGGGCTTGCACTGGCAAATTGGCAATGAGGAGTCGGCATCGTTGCTTTTCTCGAATTGGATTCCGCAAATGCATCCTAAATTGCCGGTGTTCAACCCTCAGGTGCTCCCGGTTGGTGGTGATCCTCTAGTGGCGGAGGTAATTAACCCCAATGGGGAGGGGGGTTGGTGTCCTGCTAGACTGAGCCAGTGGTTTGATCCACCTACCTGCCGTATGATTCAATCGATTCCTCTTTCACGGCAGAATATGCCAGATAGTCTTGTTTGGCATGGCACACCTGATGGAGTGTTCACGGTCAAATCAGCCTATCATTTAGCAGTGGACCTGGGGTAAAAGGAATGGTTGTTGGAGATCTACGGTTAGCTGGATGGATAGAGCCAGTTGGATTTGGCTTTGGGAGGCGGATCTTCCTCCGAAATTGAAGGTGTTTGTTTGGCAGATCTTTCACCGTATCCTCCCTACTACGGAAGGACTCATTGAGAAGAGTGTTGCTGTCCTTCCTCGTTGACCGGTCTGCTGGGGTGAATCAGAATCGATGGAGCATTTGTTTTTGGATTGTCCAGTGGCGCGGGCCATGTGGGATTACTCGGGATTGGAACACCTCGGCCAAGGATTGCCTCGTCATACTTTTCCCCTATTCCTCAAAAGGCTATTTGCCATTATTCATCAGTCATCTCTGGTCATGTCGGTAGTGGCTGTTCTTTGGAGGATTTGGAAATCCCGTAATTGGATGGTCTTTGAAGGAAAGCAATTTGGGTTCCCTGCCTTGATGTGTCAGTTCCACCAGCAGTGTGCGGAATGGGAACGCCTGTCTGCTGAACGGGCGGCTCCGGGTCTGAATCCTATTCTCCACTCTCCTGGGCGGCCTGAGGACTCATCGCTGGTATGTCTGTGGGATGGGGCTATGCGAGCTGGATCCCACTCGGCTGGCAGGATGGTTCTGCTTGACCCCCATAGGGCGATCCTCCTAGCGCAAGGGGTACAGTATCGGGCCATTGATGATCCTCTGGTGGCGGAAACTCTCGCCCTCCGGGAGGCTATCTCCTGGTGCGTGGCTAATGGGTTCCAGGAGGTGCGATTTGAAGGCGATGCCAAGGTCATTATCGATAAGATCAATCAAGCGGAGACCAGGGATAGCAGGGTAGGGATGATTTTAGCTGAAATTTGGCAATGTATTGACAATTATCCTGGGTTTAGTTTGCGATTTGTAGAACGAAGTCACAATAGGGTAGCCCATGCGGTGGCTAGAAAGGTCCTTTCTTTGTACCCGTCTACGTGTCATTCTTTTAATTTTCAGGCCTGGCTGTATTCCAGGGTGTAACTCTTCCTATCTTGAATCAATATATGATTATCTTTTGTCAAAAAAAAAAAGAAAAAAAAGAAGCTATATTAGAGCCTAAAGTTAGAGCAGCAAATTCTGAGAAGTTGATTGAAAAAAGATTTCCTGATTGGAAGCCTAGGGTGAGCAATAATCCAGATGGATTGGGGAAAATCTGACTTCTGTGGAGGAAGGATGTGCGACTCTGTCTTGTACCAGTCTGATCAATTCATGCAGGCACTTGCCAACAAGCGAGTGGCCTGATTGTGCATGGTCTTTACTTACGGTGATATATGTCATGATTGTGCATGGTCTTTACTTTCATCTTATCAACAAGCGAGTGGCCAGAAAGTCAATTTTCAAAAGTCAACTATCTCCTTCAGTGCCAATGTTTCCCAAGCGGAAGCTCAAGATATCATATCCGCTCTACGTGTCTCACCAACTAGAGATAATGATTGCTATCTTGGCCTCTCAATCCAGATGTCTCGTTCGAAACAGGAATCCTTCCGGTACATTGAAGATAACCTGCTCCAGAAGATTCAACGGTGGAAATACCAATCAATGTCGTTGGCGGCAAAGGAGGTTGTTCTCAAGTCTGTTGGATTTTCCTCTCCTAATTATGCTATGTCCAGCTTTCACATTCCTTCCACTTTTTATCGCATGCTTAATGGGAATTTAGGCTGATTCTGGTAAGCATCTTGGGACAAGGAAAATGGGATGAAATGGACTTCTTAGCGTGAGCCTCGTCGTCCAAAGTTGATCGGGGGTCTAGGATTCAGATATCTTGATGGCAACAATATTTTCTTACTACCAAAATAGGCATTGGATTATCCAAAACTCAGACGACCTCGCCATCAACTATAAATGAAGGTATTTTCCTTATTCTTCCATTTTGTTTGCTTTTTAGGGTTCTAGGCCTTCTTGGGCATGACATTGTTGTGGGCAGAACCCTTCTGCATTCCGGTCTTTGCTGGCAAATTGGTTCAAATGCTTATATTCGTACCATTGAGGACATGGCAGGCGATGAATCCTCCATCTCGACCTGTTCTTTTGTCTTAAGTCTCCTTACACAATCCACATGTTTCATCTTTGATTGATCATGGATCTGGAAATTGGAAGGTATCCCTTCTCTTTTCTTTGTTTGATGTGGATACTGTCAGGATTATCATATCTATTTCTCTTCCCATCTTTCCTGTGTCTAACCGCCTTGTGTAGTTGTGTGATACTATGATAAATCAAGTGAGTACACTCTACTGATTTTATTCATAATCCTTCCACAATCTCTCCAATATTTGATGTACATGCTTGGAAATTATTATGGTCCTTAGGTGTTCCTCCTAAACTTTGGCGTATCATCAAAGGTTATCTTCCCTTAGGAGATATTCTTAGAGAAAAGGAACTTGTTAATGATGAGGATATTGAGGTTGTGAAGTGTCTTGTTTGTTCGGAGGCTCATGAGACCATGTTACATACGTTTATGCATTTCAGGGTGGCTGTGGAATTTTGGAGCCTTGTTGGTCTTAATCGATTACGATTATAAATTTACCATATGCATGTTTCTATGGGCTGACGACGATTCATTTTTCATGCAGGCATTCCCAAGGAGGTTCTTAGCCCTTTCGTGTTAGGGTATTGGCACATTTGTAAGGCTTGGTGCTCCACCACTTGTGATGATGTTCAATTCCTCCCGTCTACCATGGTGTGTCAGTTTCATTCACAAGTGGAAGAATGGAATTCTACTCAAGCAGCTTTGCCTGCTTCAAGTAGTCGTCGTTCCTCTCAATCTGTCTCCTCCTCCAATTCCTCCGGGTTCTATCTTAGTTCAATTTGATGGAGCTCCAAAAACTTTTGTTGGGGGGAGGGGGTGGAATTTTTTTTGGTTTTACAGGGGCAAATGGTGTTTACTTCGCCTTTGGGAAGTTTTATGACTATCTGGATGATGCATTCATCATTGAACTCATGGCACTCCGGGATGCACTCTGGTAGTGTCTTTCTAAATCGATCTCTAATGTCTCATTATGTGGTGATGTGCAGGTGATCATTCAAATGATTAATCGAAAGGATCCGACACATGCTTTAGGTGGTAGCCTACTCTCTGAGGTTCAGGTCCTTCGTGTCTCCGTGCAGTGTGCATCGTTTCACTTTGCCCTGCGTGAGTACAATAGGGTTGTCCATCTCGTGGCAAAACAAGCTCTCTCATCACTGGATTGTCGGTTGGTCAACCAATGACTTTTTCTTAATTCTTCTTGATAATTTTTGACCTGCAAAGATCCTTTATCATGTCATATATGTTGTATTTCCTTTTGGGATATCCCTTTTGGTCATCAAGCAAGGTTGTCAAATCGGTTTAAGTCATTGAACCGGTCAAGCAAGGGGTATGAGATTTATTTGTATGATCAGGGTTCGACCGGTTTGAGAACCTTTTCTAGATATATATACAAATAAGGTAGTAATGAAGAATTTAATGACTGAAATGAAATTTATCTTACATGTATCTATTAAAAATTTACATTCCACAAGATAAAACATATTTAACCTCCATTACCCACTCATTATCTGCCTTCTTTCTTTCCCTCTCCTCTTTTTTCTTCTTCCTCTTTAGAGGTCCGACCGGGAGTTTTCTGCAGATCGTTTTGAAGCCCAAATAGGTCGAACCGGATTCAACTGGGAGTTCGATTAGGTTTAACAACATTGTCATCAAGAAATCATTGAATTGAACTGGCATTTCAGGTTCACGATTACTCAACAATACCCTCATTTTTTGCAAAACCCTAATTTTTAATTCGAAATTGCACAATGAATCAAACTTAGTTCTTTTTCTATTTGATTAAATTATTTTTTGTCCCCCCGTTCACTGATATCATGATACGGAAATGAAAAGGAAGAATCAATTCCCGGTTGATCCATCACTGTGCCCATATCAGCAAAACGGCCAATCCAAGTAAACGTGAAGAAATGTGGAAAATCTTGGGACCATCACATCCTGCCTCTTTTGGTTTAACAATATATTCCCTAGCCCTCATTTTCTTTTCAATTTCGCAACCGTTTATATTGCTTTCGTGCTGCCAACGTTAGAGTCCCGTTAGTGTATTGGGGATGGAGTAACAAATACAATGGTGGACGTATTTGCAGTTCAGGAGGAGCTACAGCCTACTGGCTAGCTATAACTCTCTCTCAACCATAGAACATTAATTAAATCGAGTTCAGGTAAATTAATGATACTATAATCTTAATCTCTAACGGATAAGTTTCAAGCTTCGATTCTCTAAATCCACTCTCAAAGATCAATTTGATAAAAAAAAAACGACAATCGACAATTATGATTACTTGAAATACAATGAAGCGTGCATCCAACGACCAAATCACTTGTAGTAATATTGTATACTCTCGAAGCATGCCAATCATTACAATATATTGATATGTCGAGAAACATTGGGAAGTGATACGATGAACCTATAAGCCTCCTGTTTTGAAACATTGTTATTTTTTCATCCTCATTCGTTATAATACCGACTTCACCCCTTCGAATCCAATATGATTAGACTGATTCTCGTTTGTAAATAACATACAACATAAATAAATAGATAGATGAGATCATTGCACATACAATACTAAAGGTACGGAAAGAAAGAAGTGAGACCCGTAGAACTATTTTTAAAAAGGCTTATGCCTGAATTCTGATATCGAATCAGAATTTTAATACTTAAAGGTGAGTCCTTATCTGAAAACCCCATGTGCCGTTTGCCTCACTTATGCAACAAAATGTTTGTTTCCAGAAAATATTTGTTTATCTGTGCACAGATCCAAAGCACATGATACACAAACAACAACTGGTGGTGGATTGAGGGTGGGCTTCTATTGTCTCTTGATGTAATTATTAAGAATGAAAAAAAAAAACAAATAATTAACGATGAATAAATCGAAATATAGGAGAAGCTAGCAAGTAGCTTTTTATGCATGCTGGATCCATCTGCGTGGTGTTGCTCTATAATCTCTGTGTATATGCATTATGGTGGTCCAGATTAATAATGCACAAGGGACCAAGAAAAGAGCAAGTTAGCTTTTAGCACGAAATGGTGTTACACGATTGATTCTTTTGAACTATATGTTGTGTAGTATATAGGGTAGGTTCCTTCTTTTCTTTATGAGGTTTTCATCATTTTGTACTGCCTCATGTGACTCCTTGTCCGATTGATACCGCGATGCTTGGTACTTTAGGATAGCGCCAATTTTTTTGAAGTCGTCTGAGTGTCGAACCCTGGACTGAAGCTAAGGATGGAGTTGCGCGCTGGTGAAGAATATTCTAAGTTTGAATGCTCAAAGTGTGCCGTTTTCGGGTTAGTTTCGTTTAGTACCTGATATTTTATTCTAGTGTCAAATAAGTCATGCTGCTGAGTGTTAGGGCGATCATCTAGTCATGTCCTTGTTTTCAGTATTGAGGGATGCAAGTTTGTTAACTGATTTGGCCCAACTTGTAGGTCAGTTTGTTGTCGAGCTTTTGGATAAGTTAGCACGTATTTATGCTTCCTCTTGTGTTTAACAAAGTGGTACCAGAGCACAAGTCCAAGTTGTAACAAGGAGAGATCTAAAGTGAGATGTGATTTGAAGTGAAATGTGTGAATTATTTTTTATATGGATGTAGGAAACACGAGTGATCGGTTTGGTTGCATCGTTAATTGGTGAGTGTACTTTCAATTGAGCAAACAAGAGTAGAAAGATGAGTGATAGCAACTTTGTTCAGGTCTATATTCCCAATTTTGATAGGGAGTATGACCACTGGAGAGCCTGCTAATGAAGAATCTGTTCAGGTGAAAAGAGTATTGGAATTTTGTGCAATTAGGTTTTAAGGAACTTGCTGAGGGAAAAGAGTTGACTGCAACTCATATAAAGACTCTAGAAGAGCCAAGGTTAAGGGATATGAAAGCCAAAAACTATATTTTTAGTTATATTGACAAAAATATATTGAAGACCATCGCACAAAAGGCCACAACAAAATTGTTATGAGACTCTATGAAGATAATATACCAAGGAAATGCTAGGATGCAGAAGGCACAACTACATGCTCTTAGAAGGAGCTTTGAGATCATGGATATGAACGAAGTTGAGTCTGTATAACACACTATTTTAGAAGAGTTGTGGTCGTTGAAAACTCAATGAGAAATTGTGGTGAGTCCATGACTAACGAAAAGATGGTATAGAAGATATTGAGAACTTTAATAGAAATATCAACTACATTATTTGCTCCATAGAGGAATCTAAGGACATCTCATAGCTATCAGTTAAGAGGGAGAGGAGAAGACAAGATGTTCATAAGTGAATGTCCTAAGTGAAACAATTACCAACACGTTCATTTCTCCAATTCTTAATCCTCTTATGAGTCTTGTCCGGATATGAAAGAAGATGTTTTATGTATGATATATTTCAAATCAACACAAACATAATTTCTGAATAAGGGAGTTTGGAAAGCAACTCGGGTTTGCAATTAATGCATGCTGATCTATTTGGACCTTTCTCACCAATATCAAATGGCGGCAAGAGGTATATCCTAATCCTTTTAGATGACTACAATATGAAACTTTGGTTTATTATGTTATTGCCAAGTCAGAAGCGCTAGCATTGTTCAAGAAATTTAAAACTCAAGTAAAAAAGGAAATAAGAAAGTACATTACATGTCTTAGAACTGATAGGGGTGGGAAGTTCATGTGTAATGAGTTCAAAGAAGTATATGAAGAGGCATGAATTAGAAGACAACTCACATAATCCCTAACCCCACAACAAAATGGCATTGCCGAGAGAAAAAAACAAAACTATCACGAACATGGTTATGTGTTCATTGGAGGTACCAAGATACCTAGTTTAATATAGTCCGAAGCTATGGATTGGACTGCTCATATTATAAATAGGGTCCAGCTTCAGTAATGATGGAAAACTCCACATGAACTTTCGACAAGTAAACCTCCCTCTATAGATCACTTGAAAGTGTTTGGTTGTACAACCCATGTACATGTGCATGATCATTAGAGGATGAAGCTGAATTATACTAGCATAAAGTGCCATTTTCTTGGTTTCTAAAGAATCAAAAGCCTACAAACTCACACTAATAGAGCTCCCCCATCCCTTGCCTTGATCCCGCCCTTCCCCTCTTCTACGTATAGCGCCAGCAAACCAAGCTTTGATGATCGGAGCATATGAGTTGCAGATTTCTTATTTAGATCCCACCTTGTGTCAAAGCATTTTCCCGAACTACTCGGTTACAAGGACCCTTTGAATTCCTTCATTGAGGCGTCACGTCATTTGATCAAATGAGGTCCAATCCAATATGACTGATTTCTAGACCCATCTTAAATGACTAGGATTTCATGTCTTACACCTCGAAGGAGTGCAAGATTGACTAAACGATCATTTGAATCAACAAATAACAAAATAGAGGAAATGAAGCATCACACTTATGAAAATAAAAAAAACGTATCCTCAACTTTGCATGGCTAGAACCCCTAAGGTTCACATACCTACGCAACTAAGGAACTTAGCCTACCATGGGGAGGATTTCCTGGGTTTTCATCGATCGAAACAAAGACTCCAAGAGACCTCTGGAATTGGCGGCAAAATAGAGTATTCGGGCCTAGTGGCACCGATTTTGCCGCTGACTCTCCCTCGAAGGTGGCATCGCTCTAAGTCTGAAGGGTTGCTCTGTCGACGACCCTTCCTCAACCTCTAGCTCTATAGCTCTACTTATAGGCCTTTGATTAGGCTTTCTGAGGAGAAAAACTTACCCCTACTACGTCATTCGACCAATCAGAAGCCTCCAAACTCGTGGCAAGCGAATCAGGAAGCTCTATGATAACTTCCTGGCGAAGTGGACGACTTTCCCAAAATGGAGCCGGGTTCGCTTTTTCTCCTTAGTAAAACAGCGTGTTGGCCC